GGGGGTGGCGGGGGCGGTACAGGCGCCGTGCAGCGCCGCCGTAATCTCGTTCCGGTGGCGAATTAAACGGGATTGGCTGCCCGTGGAGCCGCTGTGCGCCGCTGGGCTTCGCTGTAGGCTGCTCTGCGCCGCTGGGCCGGCGCGGCACACGCGCTGCTTTGCTGGCCGCAGCCACGAGCTGCTGCTGCTGCTGCTGCTCTCTGGCCCGGCCCGACGGCCCATCGCACACCATCTGTCTGCCTGCCGCGTCAATGCCCAGCGTTGATTCGCCCTCCCATGATAACGCCCTCAGGTGGCGGGATAGCGGCAGCGGGACCTGCAGAGCAAGCATTCGCGCGTCGCCGGGTGTGGCTTAGAGAGCAAGAGCGACGTTGTCATGTCCCAACAGCACAGAGCCGATCTGCGGCGGCGCGTCGTTTTCACTAAATCCTATCGACATTGTAGCGTTTTCACAAAAAGCTTATCTGCAAAGGGTTTGCTGCAGCCCGTTACATTCAAGTGTGATTTGCAAAATGAGTTTTTAAAGGTGAAAATGACGTGCTGCAGAGAACGGCTTTTTTAGTTGAAAGCACAAGTCGTGCGTGATCGACCAGGAAGGGCTGGCCGACGTCGACAGCCAAAACCGCTCATTATCCCCCCCGCACTCGACGTGTGTAATTATTTCCACATTTGGCACTTTACGCGTTCCTAGAGAGTAAATAGTCTCGTCCCCTCTACTCCCTCCCCTCTCCACGTCTCTCTTCTTTCTGGGCGGGTAAATCAACGCGTCCCGGCCCAGCCACATGTGGCACAAGCATTACACAGTCGGCGGCTGCCGGGTCCGGGCACGCTCATTACCCCCGGAGCGACGCGTGGGAGTCTTGGGGCATCAAGCAGCAGCCTGAAGCAGCCTAAGGGGAAGCCTACAGCAGCCTAAAAGCGGCGCGGCGTCAGCACCCGGCCCAATAGAATAGAGTCGTGGCCCCAACAACTTTAGAGGCGCGCGGCCCCGCCTTGGCCACACCGCCACGTCACAGAGACACTGTCACACATGTCGTGGTGCCGACTGTCAGGGTAACCCGACATTAGAATCTGAATATACCGACACCGACCCCACCCAACCGACCACCCTTTGTATTATAAAAGTGGTGGAACGTTGTACTACCACGTCGGCTTACAGGACGAGGCGGTGGAAAAGTTACGTCACGCATGAAAAAACGGTGGACACTGGGTGACAGTATTGTTATACATCATTTCTAATGTGACGTAACTGTGACGTAACGCGACCCCAAAGATAAAATAAGACACGTTTGTCCTCGCAGCGTGGAGGCTTGGTGGTGCGCCGTGGCAGTGGTAACTGGTAAACCCACGACAGCAGAGCGTGAGCGAGCTGATCAAACGCGCGTACATGCAAGCCGTTCGCCCCGCGGCGCGCCACATATGACTGCGAGGAGGGCCTCTCCCCTTTGTTCTCCGCCGAGCGCGCCCTTCCCTCACGTTCTGCTGCACCGGAGACGCCTGCTCCTCTTCGATCTCTCTTTTTTCTCCCCACTGTCCGCCCTTTCCTCCCCATCCCCGCCGGCGTCTATTACTCTCGGCGCAGCACGTCCCCCGCTGCTTCCGGATTCACATTCGGCGCGCACAGCATTGGACCCCCCGCGTCTACAGCCACATTCACATTCATATGGAAGCGGGGGGCCGCCCGGGGCGCGGCTGCTACTGCTGCTGCCCGGAGCGTGAAAAAGCTGCATCAGACTTTGGCGAGGGATGTGGCGCCGGTGCGGTCTCGGGGCGAGTCATAGCGCGGTAGCTGAAGAATGGGCGCCGCCGCCACCGGTCGCCTCCGCGTCGTAAAAACGTCGCCACGCCGTTTGGGCCGCCGCTGATCGTGCAGATTTAGAGCACCTGATCATCGTTCGCTGGCCCCCAGCTCACCTGTCTATGGAGATGGCCATTAGGGTGAAGACGGACGCGCAGATCGAGAGCACGGCCACGAACTGCGACAGCTTGCAGTAGAGGCGCCCGAACGGCCAGTTGTTGTGCAGCATGCCAACGTACGTGGCCGTCACGTTGAGCAGCGACACCATGGCGTCGGCGATCGACAGGTTGACGAGGAAGTAGTTGGTGACGGTGCGCATGCGCTTGTGCGCCAGCACGATCCAGATCACCATCACGTTGCCGCAGGCCGCCACGATCACCTGCGTCAGACAACAAAATATTTTTTCTGGGTGTGCAGTGGGTGGTGTGGGTCGAGCGAGGTGTTCACGGTAAAACTATGTCTAAATTTTTAAAAGGGAAAACAGCATTAAAGAACTCCTATATTAACGGAAAACGCCCTCAAATTTTCCTAAGTAAAATCCTCTCAAAAAATGAGGAAAATACGAGGGGGAAACGACTGTTAAACTTTGTGTCAGCCGGATTACGGATTACGGATTACCCGGATTACCTCCGGAGTGTCCTCCGGATTACGTTGCTTTTTCTCCAGAATTACCCCGGGTTACCCCCAAAATTTTCCCGGATTACCCCAAAATTTCCCCGGATTACCGCGGATTTCTTAGAATTTCCTCGGATTACCCCTACCGGATTACCTTTCGGCTGTCAGCCGGATTACCTTAGTCGTTTCCCCCTCGGGAAAATAACTTCATTACTTTTCCTCAAATATGGCAGTTCTTAAAGTTTTCCATTTTCCCATTTTCCCTCAAAAAACCTCGGACATTGTTTTTACTGTGTTGCTTACGGTTCAAGCCGCGAGTACTCTGCAAATCTGACTGTGTAACAAGATGACAGTTTCGCCCAGGACACACTATCCTGCGTCAGGACCACGACTCAACACAACAGTATGCTAGGTTGCCTACTCCTACTCGCTCTAAGGCGCCACGGCCCCTTGCGTCTTGAGTATGCAAACCTGCAACACTGTTGTGTCGTAGCGGTAGGCCAAAGCCGCGGTCGGGAGAGACGCCCGCTGTTCATCCCCACACAATAAAGCGCCCCTGCTCAGCGTGCGTCTGCAAGCTCGACGCGGTCGGCCCCGGCTCCTTCTGACGAGGGATTTCGATTAAACATTCCAAAACAGTCGATTAACTGCGGTGGGCGGTGGTGGTGGGCCGGGGCGGGCCGGGGCGGGCCGGAGCGTATGCGGCGGGCGTGTACTTGTTTTCGTCTGTCCCGGCGGCGGCGGGTCTCCGATGTGCCGCATCAGCAATCGGGTCATCAATCAAGGGTCCGGTCGGCTTATTTCAGCGAGGCGGTCGCGTCTCCCTCCCCGGAGCCTCCTATCTAGGCGCCCCAGTCACAATGGCGGAAACGGCGTGCCGCAAAAGAAAAATAATGGATAGTAAAAAAAATACCGAAAAACAAGTAAGTCAGTTTCTTTCATAAATAGATTTTATAGGCCCATGCTGTGCTATGGTGGGCAAGACAGTGAAAGCTTCTCTTGCTTGTCCGCTTCGTGTCGAAAATAAAATCTTGAATACATTGGGACGACGACCCCAAACTGTCAAAGGGTTTCGCGCGCGCGAACGAAAAAGGGGTTGGGTGACATAACCGATATAACGAGCCGCGAGGCGTGACGCGGAGAAGAGGCGGCTCAGAGCGGTGCTTTCGGAGGGAAGGACCGCGCGCGACCCCTGTGTGTGGCGTGTTTATGCGAGGGGGTCAGAGGTCACCAGGAGGCACTACAGCAGCAGGGAAAAGAAGAAGAAGAAGAAGAAGAAGAAGAAGAAGAAGAAGAAGAAGAAGAAGAAGAAGAAGAAGAAGAAGAAGAAGAAGATAAAAGCAATAGTTGGGACGTGGTGAGTTCGCGGACAGTCGCGAATGTGAAGAAAATAGGGAAAGGGGGCAGACAGGGCAGCACGGCACGCGGTTCAGGTGAAGTGCACGCCACTCACTGTCAGCGGCACGGTTGGCTCCCGGCCGCAGAGCTAGCCAGCGAACAGCAGCAGGGGGAAATATAGAAATTTATCGACAGGCCAGGCGTGGTGTGGCCGCGATTTTCCTGCTGGATCCAGATCCCGCCGCTGCTCCGCTGCGTCCCCCCACGCGCGGCCCATAACGTTTTTGCGCCTCGGGGGCGTCATCGGACAAGCCCCCCCCCCCCCCTCGGTCTGTCTAGCCGAAAAGTGTAATTATTATGAGATCGATGAATTCAGGAAATAAAAGCATAGTCTTCGGGCAGCAACACATCAATCCACGCCACGGGCACGCCCGCCTCTGCCTCTATGCCATTCTTTTTTTTTAATTATTCCCTTTATATCCCACAGTTTATATGGTTTATACCAGATCGTTTTTTCTTTTGGAAATAAACTGCAAAAGACCCAGTTATGTTTTCGCGTTTTCGCCAGATTGGGTTGGGATCCTGAGAGACATTCTAAGAAGAGGAAAAGAGAGGTGGACTAGTCGCGAAAACGTTTTTCGCGGCCGTTTTCTTTTCCCGCCAATCACTTGGGTCCCGCCGCACGAGGCTGTCGTGACGTGAGGGCACGGCCATCAAGCCAGGGCTGAAGAGCCGCCATTTTCAAAATTGCCTTCAGTTGAGTCTGAGGGCGAGGTGCGGTGCTGGCGCTGGCGGGGGGTGCAAGGGTGCGCATGATTGTGTTGTCCGCTGATAGTACGCCCGCCCCACCCCATCATCACGTGTCTCAACAACTGCCCGCCCCGCGCCCGTTGACTGCTCGCCAATAATAACACACTAGAGAGCTGTATTCAGTTTTATAGGAGAGCTAATTCCGACAGTGAAACGCAAGTGGCCATAAAAGTGAAAGCCGAAAGCAAAGAATCTGTCGTGCCTAACCAAGCTGAGCGCGACGAGGGCGCCGTGGGCACCTTCAGTCTCTCTAGAGAACCTACTGCGTACCTATTTACCTCCGCCTCCAGGTTCTCCGCTTTCGGCTTTCGCTTCGGGCTTTCGCGTTTCGCTCACCGGATTAGCTCCCCTAACTAAATACAGCTTACAGCGGTACCCGAGCAGTGCGCCGCGCGGCCTGCCACGGGCAATGATGGCTCGTCAACCAGGAACAATTGGAAATGTTTTACGCGCGCCGACGCTTGTAGTTTGATGGGCACTCCAGCTAAAGCGCCTGCCACGTTTTGTATGCGCTCCGACATCGACCACAGAGTTGAAAAGGCTTTTTTGCGATGGAAATTAATCCACACTATTATGCTTTATTTTTGCGAGAGAAATCAATCCACACTACATTTATTTTGCATTCTTTTCTTTAACTTTGTGATTTGGTTGAAAATCCACACACGCGTCCAAAAATGTGAGATCTTCGAGGGGCCCTTACCCTTCACTCCTAAAAAAATCGTTCAGTGATTGCAATCACAGCTGATTGCAAATGATTGTGATTTTTGAAAAATTATTTTAAAATGATTCAAAATCGATTGTAAATGATTCAAATTGACTGTATATGATTGAAAATGAGTGAAAATGTTGCAAAGATTGTAATGATTGAAAGTGATTGTAAATGATTCAAAATGATTCGAACTCTAATTTTTTCTTTTGAAACGTTTTAAGTGATTCTTGAAAGTGGTCGACTCCTCGGAGATCTTGGATTAAGTACATTACACTTCTTGATTTTTTCAAGTACAAAATGCCATTATATGCACTTTGTAAAAAGAAATCACGGTTCAAGTATACAGTGTACTGTTGTTGGGTTGCGTCTAAAACGTGTCTATCTCCGTTTGAAGGAGAAGCGACCCTCACGCGACCCGAGAGAAGAACTCCAAAGCCGGCGGGCTGGGCTGAGCCCCCGGCCTAGGCCTCTACGCGCGCCTCCCGCGGCACAGCACGACACACAATACGACACCCCTGGGCCGGGTCCCAGGCTGGGCGCCGCCGGCGTGCCCTTCAGCGCGTTCGCTACAATGAGCGGTAACGCCCAGAGACGCTCTCCGCGCCGACGACGTGAGAGGTGAAAGAGCCGAAAGCGCCATTCCATTACAGTGGCCCGAGGCGGGGAGCGTCGAGGGGCGAGGGGGCGAGGCGTCAGGCTGGAGAGAGTATGCCAACAAACGAGTATCGGACAAACTTTGGCCGCGGATTTTGCGCGCGGCCAAAAGGCGACGGTCAGGCCGGCCAGACGGCGAAAAGGGGAGGGGGACGGAGGTCCCTTATGGCGAGGGAAGTGGCCATGAGGTTGGAGACAACGGGCGGGGTGGAAGCTCGCGGAAGACAGATAGCGGACAGCACTCACCATGCCGGCGAAGAGCGCGGACCAGAGCACCTGGCGCCAGACGGGCAGCTCGTACGTATGGAACTCGCCGTACTCGGTGTCGTTGAGCGGGAAGCCGTCGGACGCGTTGACCGTCAGGTTGGACGTCATCCACGGCAGGGGGGAGGCCGTCCAGGCGGAGGACGCGTTGCCGTCCATCAGGCCGGCCAGCCCGGCCAGCCCGGCCAGCACGGGGTCGTCCGGACCCGCCGCCGCGCCCTCCGCGCTGCCGTTCGTGACCATGGTGTGGTCACGGGTCACGGGGCCGGGGCCCGGCTCAGGTCCGCAGGGCTGCCGTCAGACTGTCGTCGTGATGCGCCGCCGCCGGGACTGCATCGCGCTCGGGCCTTGGGCATCGCACTGGCACAGCGGCACCGCCAGCGGACCGCCAGCGCGCCAGAGGAGCGAGATACGGCGACGACCGTCGCCGATAAGCAGCCGAAGCTGCCTCCAAGGCCCTAGGCGGCAGTCATTGCTCCGACACCTGTAGGCAAAGGACGAACCGATCAACACACGCACACACCCACATAGTCCCTGCGGGGGCGGGGAGGTCGGCAACGGCGATAGCGATGAGAAGCGCGAAGACCGCAAGACCAGCTGCTCGCGGCGCGTGCGCAGACGGACAGCAGTGAGAGAGACAGAGAGAGAGAGAGAGAGAGAGAGAGAGAGAGAGAGAGAGAGAGAGAGAGAGAGAGAGCAGAGAGAGAGAGAGAGAGAGAGAGAGAGAGAGAGAGAGAGAGAGCAGGGAGAGAGAGAGCAGAGAGAGAGAGAGAGAGAGAGAGAGAGAGAGAGAGAGAGAGAGAGCAGGGAGAGAGAGAGCAGAGAGAGAGTGAGAGAGAGGGGGGGGGGGAGAAAGAAGCAAATAAAAACACCGCTGATACCTCGGCGTCGTCGCCGCTGGGGAACCAATCACTAAAGAACACTCAGCGCGAGCTCCGCGTGGCTCGGGAGATAAGGCCGACGATACCTGCTCTGGCAGGCGAAGTCGCGCGGGCGGCAATATAGCACGAGCCGATCTAAAGATATATACTATATTGTCACTTTTGAACCATTAGCTTTGTGCCACGTCAAAAAGAAAAAAACGGAACGCCACGCCGAGCCCCCTGGTGCTATATATGGGAGACTGTAAGGAAGGGGGGGGGGGGTCTCTTTGACCTCTGGTAGAGACAGTCTTAAAACTCTGAACAAATTGAGAAGAGTGGAGGAGGTTTTTTTTTCATTTCTTTCCTCTAGTGTCCCGTTTGTTTTCTTCCGCCCCCACGCCACAGCAGCGCCTACGCGTCACGTCACCAACGGCGCCTGCGGTCAACAAAAGGCATGTGCGGGTGCGCGCGCGCGCGCGTCTCCGTCTAAATTTAGAAGGGGGCACATCTGGAGGTGGCTGTCAGCGCGCCCATCCCACCCTACCCGGCCCCGCCCCGCCCCGCTTCCCACCAGCCAGGCCAGGCTGGGCTGGGCTGGGCTGGCCGACCTTCATCTCGAGAGTATATTGACAGTCGTCGTCCCTGTACTTGACCTGATGCGCTGGCCGACGGCTCCCCCTTTCAGGCGCGCGCGGCCTATTGCCGCCAGGGTCCCTGAAGGGCAACAGGACAGGGCACGGACAGGCCCTCTGCCCCCTCCCGCAGGTAAAGGCCCTCGTCCAGCAGCTGGGGCAAAGTCGGTCGCGCTGCGCTCTCGCCACGGCCGGGCCCGCTCCGACGGGAGCCCTTGAACCAGGCGCCCCGAAGACGCCCGGCGTTCGCCGGAGCTCCCGGAAGCGCGCGCGCGTGGCGTGAGGATCCCCGCCCCGCTTCTTCTCCGTCGTTATCCGATTTAACGCTCAATTCGCAATGCAAATGAAGCAGCGCCTTCCGAATAGCCGTGACAAGAGGGAGAGGAGGGCGCGCCGACGTCCGGCCAAAGCAGGGCAGGGTAAGACGCGCCAGAAAGAAGGAGTAGAATCTGGGTCGACAATCGTCCTCCCTCCCCGGTCCTATAGAAGTGCGGGCGGCGGCGGGCCAGGGCGGGGCGGGTGACCCCCCCTCCCTCTTCTTGTCCCCGCAGCCCACACCGGCCTTTTCAATTCGCAGCGCATACGCCGCCGGCCATGATCTCTCCCGTTTCGCTCGTAAATCCCACCGATCCGTAACTTATCTACCCCCCCGCTAGTCGGGCTGCTACGCCCAAACCCGCGTAGGGCTCAACCACTCTCCTCTCTCTCTCCCCTGGCCCCGAGGGTCCTCTCGCGAGGCACCACTAATCTAGCCACCACAGAACACCAGCGTCCTAGACGGCAACTCTCTCTCTTTCTCCCTCCCTCTCTCTCTCCCTCTCTCCCTCTCTCCCTCTCTCCCTCTCTCCCTCCCTCTCTCCCACTCTCTCAGTGCGTGAGGAGAGCGCCTGACCGCGCTTATGCATGGTCACAGGAGAGACTTCAGGTCGCCGCTCAGGACCAGACCAGAGCGACGACGCGGTGAGCGGGAAAAGGGCTGATTTGTTTTGCTCTCCCCGAGAGGAGAACAGGTAGGGCACTTAGGCGCGCTCTCCGCGGATACGGCGGGGGGGGGGGGGGGGGCTGTGGGGCTGCGTGCTGCGCTGTGTGGTCCTGTGAGCCCCCTCGCTGACAAGTGGGGCACGCTCCTGCACTCGTCCACTGAAAGCCGGTGTTCGCCAGTGAATGGGAGTGGACGAGGAGGATGAGGCTGTCCCGGGGGGCCACGGCTCGGCTCGGCTCCGGCTTTGGCTTTACGCGCCACGCGTGGCGCGGCGAGGCTTCGGCTCCGGTTGAGTCTGTTGAGGAGTCTCGACTCGGTGCGAGACGTGCACGCCGCGGGTTCCCAGAGCTCGCATCCGCGCCGCCGCAAAGAAAGAAGGGGCTTGACAGACGGCGTTTTAGCATTCAAACCGAAAACACGACCGTAAGAACACCGCAACAGCGACGAGAGAGACGGCGGCGCACAAGGAGAAACACTCGCGGCAGCGCACCAGTTTGTTGGCTCTCGTGCGGCGCCCTTGGAAACAAAAGAGCTAGAAGAGAAATTCCCCGGGAAATCGCTGTCAAAGTGCATAAGAGATATCCTGGCCCTGCTTTTAGCTTTGGCTTCTCCCCCCTCCACCCCCTCTGGTCCTCCATTGCTGCTGTCCGATTTATGGGGGCGCCTCGCCTCGCCTCATCGACACGGCACAGCGGATTGCGTCTCTTTTTTTTTATTTCTCCTTTTGCCCCACGAAAAATACTGTCCTCTGGCTTAATATTGCGCTGGCAGCGCGCGGCTTAGCCCCCCCCCCCCATGACTTCTCTCTCTCATCTCCGGCGTCACAGAGCAGAGGGAAAGAGAAGAAAGATGGAAAGGGGGGAGGGGGGCATTCGAGCACTTCCAGCCGAGACTGGCCCTGGCTCCAGCGTCCGCGCTCGCTCCAGTGGCATTGCGACCATTGCGTGGCGATGAATTGAGCTGGCTTTGATTATTGCTTCTGCCCGGCGCGGGCCGGCGGCTACCCGGGCGGGCTGAGGCCGGGCTGTTTGGTGTTTTTATTTCGGCCGTGTCGTTTGTCGCTAAAAAAGAAACGGCGGGTCGAGTCAGCGGCCGCAAAATGGCGTGTAATTTGATATTCCGGCCTGGCCGAGCGGGTCGAGCAGCGGCGGCGGCGGCAGGGGTAGCAGTGCCCGGCGTGGGCAGGAGAGGACGGCCCTTTGAAGCGCCCTACAAACAGGATGGTGGTTGCTTGAAAGGGGGAGGGGGAGGGGCCGGAGTATTCAGCAGTTATCGAAAAGTCTCTGTCCCGGTCGGTCGGCGTGACTCCACGGATCGGAGTATGGCGGTCGAGGAGAGCCCGGCGGGGTCGAGCGAGGGGTGCCCAACTCGAAAAAATCGTGTACACCTGATTACCAAAAAGTGATGATTACCAAGGATAACCGAAGATTACCGAAGATTACCGAAGATTACCGAAGATTACCAAGGGTTTCCGAAGATTACCTCTGACAAAATATTACCAGAGATTACCAAAGATTTCCATTGATTACCACAGATTACCAGTGATTTCCAAAGATTACCGGCGATTTCTAAAGATTACCAGTGATTACCAAAGATTACGAGTGATTACCAAAGATTTCCAGGAATTTCCTTGCTGGATTTCTTAGTGATTACCAAAGATTACCTAGTGATTACCAAAGATTACCTGGTGATTACAAACGATTACCTGGTGATTACCAACGATTACCTAGTGATTACCATGAATTACCGGTGATTACCAGGGATTACCGGTGATTACCAGGGATTACCGGTGATTACCAGGGATTACCGGTGATTACCAGGGATTACCAGGGATTACCGGTGATTACCAAGGATTACCGTCGATTACCAAGGATTACCGTCGATTACCAAGGATTACTGGCGATTACCAATGATTACCGGTGATTACCAGGGATTACCTACTCTGTGTACACCTGATTACCTCAGTTGGGCACCCCTCGGGGTCGAGGCTAGGGGGCGGGATACGAGGAGTGGGGGGCTGCTCAGGGGGGCTGAACCGGTTGTACGGTCGAGGAATTGATTTGGACTGCCGCACACAGATTTGGGGCGAAACAGTCGCGTAGCAGCGAGCGTGAGCGTACCCCTTTCATTCCGCGATAATCCCCCCGGCCGACGCCCTC